AGTGAGGCCATACGGGGTAAGAATGGGACCTCTTAAGTCAGTAGTGGGGAACCTGTGGCTCTGTAGATCATCCTTGACCACTGGCAATGCTGACTGGAGCCACAGGTTCCTCACCCCTTGCCCAAACTTCAGAGGCAGTATACAGTGGTACCTCAGGTTACATACGCTTCAGGTTACATACGCTTCGGGTTACAGACTCCGCTAACCCAGAAATAGTGCTTCAGGTTAAGAACTTTGCTTCAGGATAAGAACAGAAATCGGGCTCCGGTGGCGTGGCGGCAACAGGAGGCCCCATTAGCTAAAGTGGTGCTTCAGGTTAACAACAGTTTCAGGTTAAGTACGGACCTCCGGAACGAATTAAGTACTTAACCTGAGGTACCACTGTATATACCGATGGCCTCTGGCTGACCGAAAAATGTTGCATTCTCCGTCATAACCTTTTCTATTGTTATGAGAATTATAAGGTCTAATATGTAAAATAAATGTACCAAGCAAACACATACATAAATATATAAACCACATGTCTGAAACAGTACAGAAAAAAAAGTCCTGAAACCATTTTGTCTCTCCCAAATTGACCTCAAATGTTTCTCTGCAAGGAAGGAGGAAATGGGAAAAACCTCCCCATTGTCTCTGTGCTCACAAATCCTGCCTTAAGGGCACATTTAATATATGAATAGGATGAGCCTGTGACCTGGACTCAGGAATTAAGTATTTATCGTCAGGAAAGAATGACCAGGCTCACTAGGTAAACCTATTAACAGCCAGGTAAACCCATCAACAGGTTTCCTGCCAGATAGGATTCTGTTGTAGACCGCCCCTTCTGTGATGTACGTATGATGTATTGGGATCACTGTCATTCCTATTTGCCTGTTTTCTCCTGTTTGTAATGCTCAGGTTTTGCCTCCTGTACTATATTTGCAGTGATGGTGTGGATATTGCTGGAGAAAGTGGTCCTGAGCAGATTGGGAGGATTGGCCGTGCTCAATAATCAATTCTAAAAAGAGAAGTTTGAGCCTTGACACTGGAAGCCTCGACCATAATCATAACTATGTGGAAGTTTGCTATGGCCACCCAATGTTAGGGAAAAGGCTCTTGCACAAGGGGCATCATTTCTTCATTGATTAGCACACTCCAGAAGTCATTCTCTGTCTTATATCAAGTCAGATTAATGGCCCATCTAGCTCAGTATTGTCCAGATTGACTGGCAGCAGCTGTGCAGGGTTTCTGGTGGAAATCTTCCCAATCTCTCCCCCCCCCCGTAGGGTCATCTAGTCCAACACCCTGCAATGCAGGAATCCTGCCCACAACTGTCCCAGGATGGGCTCAAACCACCAGCATTCTGGTTAACAGCGAGACACACCTACCCATTGTGCCACCTCCAGGTGGTTTTTGATGTGTGGTGGGAGGTTGAACCAGGGACCATTTGCACGCAGAGCAAATGCTCTACTGCTGAGCTAGGACCCTGGCCCTTCACTGAAAATGGATGTTGATGCTGAGCCCTGAATGGGCACATGTGAATTTAAAATTTAAGAATATTTTTTGAAGCAGTGGCAGGGTTCAGTGCCTATTTCTTACTTGATTGTAAAATGTCTGAATAAAATTCCAGCGCATGCTCCTGAAGTGTTCAACTTTCTACCTGTTCATAAGGCTTAAGGCTGACATTGGCTATACCCAAGCTTTGGCATACTTCTGGTACAGTGATACCTCGGGTTAAGTACTTAATTCATTCCGGAGGTCCGTTCTTAACTTGAAACTGTTCTTAACCTGAAGCACCTTTTGCTAATTGGGCCTCCTGCTGCTGCTGCGCCGCCGGAGCACGATTTCTGTTCTCATCCTGAAGCAAAGTTCTTAACCTGAGGTAATATTTCTGGGTTATCAAAGTCTGTAACCTGAAGCGTATGTAACCCGAGGTACCACTGTATATCATGATTTTTATCTCTTGGAGCAATGCTATAGAAGGAAGGAGATCTATCTTATTTGGCCATCTTTTTACCGTGTAAGAGTAGCTGATCCACATTGCTGATTTGTGGTATTGTTCCTAGTCATGATTTTACCCAAATATCTCATTGTATGTGAAGGGCCCCGCCCAAATGCCTCTTTTTTTATCCCCGTCACTTTCTCAGGCTTTTGTGAGCTAGGGCTATCCCTGCTGCAACCTTGATTTTTGAAGGTAAGCTGCCACCTTGTGGTGTGTTCTAAAACAAAATTATTTATTAATCTTCTCTAAAACAAATCATGTGTGTCTTTATTCCCCCCCTATTGCTATCTTAACTGTGTCAATTAAATCACTGTATCTACTGTATGTTTTGCAAAGGGGTTTGTTTGTCCGTCTGTCACTTCTCTATAGGTTCAGCCACCTCTCGAGACATATTTGCCAAACTTGGCAGAAGGGTTCCCAAAGTGGGGGCAGAAGTCTCTGTTGCTGTTTGGACACCATGTACCATTTTGAATAAAGATGGCAGACCCAAACACGACTTTGTTGTGACTTCACTCAATTTTGTGTGTGATGGATTCAAACCCGCAAATTACACAATCCATTTAAGAATCACAATAATTCATTGTTTCTACAAATTCCCAGGCAGCACTGGGGGACACCCCCTGCTAGTATTCTGATAACATGTCTGATCTCAGATCTTCTAGTTAAGTGCTGCAATTAAAAGGAAGGGAGCTCACAGGAACATGAAATTCAGAAATAAATGCTATTGATTGGAAAACAGAAAGAGGCTTGAGGCAAAGTAACCTTGGCTTTAATAGTGACCTCTGCCAGAGCTTGCAAAGGTCTGGAGTCATCCCTGCAAGAACCTGATTCAAGGATTGTTTGTTTGTTTGGTTCAGCGAAGCCAGTGCTTAATTCCCTAAGCAAAACCAGGTCATCAGCTGCAAGTCAGTTCCTCATATTATGCGTTGCCCTAGTAAATTGAGTACTGAAGGAAATTGTTTTCTAGTAAATATAGTATTGAACATTCCAAGGCAAATGAAGCAAATACCAAGGCATTAAAGCAGCCAAACAGGAGAGTTCCAGACATTCCCCAGATACCACCCAGACATTTTTGCTGCTAACCACATGTTTGACATCCAGCAATCTGAAAATTCAGCTAAGGATGCAGAGCGTTGCTCTTCCACATATTTTTCTTTTGTTATTTAACAAAATTTATATACCTCTTGAATGTAATAAAATCTCTAAGTTGATTACAAGAAATATTAAAAATTCTCAATAAAAACAGCAAAAAATTTAAAAGGTAATTAAATTTAAAGTAATTTAAAAGGTAGTTAATAGTCGACTAAAAAGAGATTAAAACACATCAACAGCTATGTGTCTGGATAATCCTGGTTAAAGAAAAATGGTAGTGAAAAAGCACAACAAAGGTGCTTGCCTGATGTCAATAGGCGAGGAGTTCCAAAGTGTAGGTGGTGCCATATTTAAATATTGATTTCTTACAGCAGTAAACCAAGTATTATGTGACACCCATAAGAATCCCAGCTACGCGGACTGAAATGTTTGAGTGGACACATATGGATTAAGAATGACATTTCCCCATTCCTACAGCCAGCAAATCTTAAATCTACTGTATCTTTTGGAAAGTTATTTGCTTGCTATGCATTTGGACATTTCCTAAGATATCATAACTAAATTTTGCATGTTGGCTTCTGAGATCAAGGAGCAGGTTTTCATCGGTGTTTAGAAACAACTGGTTGTCATTTTGAATCAATATTGGGGACAATCTGTCAAAACTGCACTGATTTTAACCACTGGTTTCAAATCTGTGCTGGTTTTTTGGTTTCTTAGACTTCCTGAGCAATGCCAACCAGGTACAAGGCTGCTTGTTACCTAAAAATCAGGGTGGGGCGTGGGTTCTGCTTCTTATATCAAAGTGAGCACACAGGGAGGAAAGGTGAAAGATATTGCATTCACATTCCACTGCTCAATTTGGTTGCTTAATGTGATTTCCTGTCAGCCCAGCTCCAATACTAGAAGTGAGTTGGGTTGGTTTGAAATTGCTTAAAGTTGTGGATAGCAGCAAGGTGAGGGGGGGGGGGCTTTTGCTCCTATCCACCATGCACTCATTTTGATAAGAAAAGCAGTCCTTCTCACCCCAGTTGTGAGGTAAATGAGCTGAAATATACGGTACATCTCTGGTATAGCCCTGAGGCTCAGTATCTGTGAAATGGGTGTTTTAAAATAATATTCCCTATGTGCTTAATTTCATGACCAGGTGTGAGAGTCACCTGTAGGTTGTGGCTGTTCACTTCCTTAAACTATTTTATCTGCATTTTGATTGTTTCCTGCTTTCTGGTTGCAGTCTGAATCACAAAAGCCACCATGGTTAGAGTGTGGAACTAGCACCTGAGAGATCAGAGTTCAAATCCCCACTCAGCCATGAAGCTCATTGGGTGACCTTAGACCACTCACCTTCCTTCAGGTTAGTTTACCTCATGAGGCTAAAATTGGGTGGGGAGAACCACGTACAGGAAGATGGGATATAAATGTGTTGAATATATGCTATATAGTAATTTATGGACCTAATAGGTATCTAAAGCCATTTGCACATAAGAAAATATGTATTTTATCCAAGTAATTGTTGAACTGAAATACATTTAAGAAGTATATTAATAGTGAAATAATTATTAAGCTCTAACTTAAAATAATTTTTTATTCATAACTTAATAATGCAAACACACTGGCATTTGGCAACGACAAAAGTTCCTTTAGAAACACAGTTTACAAAGACTCATAATCTAGTCTCTAGAAACTTGCTATAACATGAAATAATAGCAAACCAGTGATATTTTAGGGAGCAGGTGAGCAGGCGGGGCCCATTACTTATAGCACAGGAGCCTACACAACACAAAACACTGATGCTGTATGTAGGTTTTATTTTATTTGTTTTTATCTTATATTTTGGAAATGTACATCCAGGTGTTTCTTTACATTTTTGAGGGGCCCCAAGAGAGTCGGGCTCTAAGCTATAGCTTGTTTAGCTTATACGCAAATCCGGCACTGCATGGCGGCGCGGAGGTGAGGAAAGTGAAGGAGGATTTGGTTCAGGGTACAGCCGGCGCCTGCTTCCTCCCGTCGGCTGCTGCGGGGAGGGCCGAGAAGACGGGTGTGTGTACCTTTAAGAGAAAAGGAAAGCAGGAAGTCGCTGTGGGGCAGCCAGAGGAGCCGCAAACTGACTGGGTCGCCTGCGTGGAGCTTGCATGGGGTCTCGCTGACCAAGCCTGCCAGTCCCTCGGGGGGAAGTTGAGCTGTGATCTCTCGAGAGAACCGACTGTCCAATTTCAGGTAGGATCCTTTGCTCGCAATATACCTGTGAAGACCTGCAACCGAGCTGCTTGATTTATGACTCCCTTGCGTCCGGCTTACATTGGCAGTAGGAGGAGATGAACGGTGCCTGTACACTTCCTTCCTGTAGGGTGCAAATCCTATCCTATTTTGGTGTGTTTGTTCCCGCCTGCAATGCCGTGTTTGAATTGCCTTGGCATGTTTTTTTTTACTTTCTGCAAGGCATGCAAGGAACGCCTATAAGGATTAGAGAGATGCAAAGGTGGGGTGTATATTTTCGTGGAAGCAGGCTTTATACGGAAACATTTGCTGTATTTCTTTAATGAGCCCCAGAGGCACTTATGAGACTTTTTCACAGGGGATGCAGCAATTGTTCATTTAATCTTCACACCCTATTATTATTATTATTATTATTATTATTATTATTATTATTATTATTATTATTATTATATTAATTAAATTGATGCCCTGAACACCTATATAATGAATATTAACATCACAGCATTAATACCACAGCCTCAATATCTTTTAAGACTGTGATGCTGTCTCCAGAGTGGAGTCTGGATGCTGTTATTTAATCAAAGGTGCTAATTCCACTTTAACATGACCACTTCTATTTGAGGTACATTACATGCAAATATAAATCTTTTCTTCTTTTCATGCCTTCATAAGGAATGCTAAATAGTGTTCTTGCCATAGCTAGCAAAGCAGCCCTTTTGAAACAGTGGTATCTGCTGTTTCCTTCTGTGCTCAGGGGAATAAAACACCCAATATATCAAAAAGCCTGGCAGATTCAGTTTCTACTTCCCATAGTACAGAAATTAGGGGAAATATTTTTTTAAAGGAAATTGGTCAATGTTCAGTGAAGTTTCCTCTCCCCCTGTGTATGCTATATGTTTTGGGAATGACTCCACAGAGGATATGCTACAATCAACACTAAAACATTCTGTCTTCCTAGAATAGCAGGAATACTAGAACTTTTGTTCAGAGGTGTGTATGTTTTGGCCCATTCATGTGGTGTGAAGGTGGCTGCCAAGGTTGTGAGTTCTTCACATTGGTTGACATTTTATTTGCAGCCAGCATTCCTTTAGCTTACTAGGCTATCAGTGAGAGCTAAGCTGAAATTGTTAGAAATGGCCAGGGGTCACTAATGGCGGAGAGAACACTGTTGAGATCCATCTTCGTTTCATGCTGGACAAGAAATTGTGTGCAATTGATATAAAATGGATGAACATAGTTTTGGATTTAATTTTTAAATTAATTATCCTTGAGTGTGTACAGGAGTGTGCCACATACTGATGGACATGAAGGATGGGGCTTCCCAAGGTTACTTCATGTGTTATATGCAATATCTCTCAGGCCTGACAATTGTTCAGAGATCACATTCCTTGAGCTCATCCTAACATGGGACCAAATCCTGATGTGGCTGCACTTTTGCTAAAAATACACAACTGAACATAATAGGTCAGTGCCAGCAATTCTGACAATTGAGTATGTGTGTGTAGGCAGAACATAGCAGTACAGTAGTACCTTGGGTTACATACGCTTCAAGTTACATACACTTCAGGTTACAGACTCCGCTAACCCAGAAATAGTACCTCGGGTTAAGAACATTGCTTCAGGATGAGAACAGAAATCGTGCTCCGGCAGCGCGGCAGCAGCAGGAGGCCCCATTAACTAAAGTGGTGCTTCAGGTTAAGAACAGTTTCAGGTTAAGAACGGACCTCCGGAACGAATTAAGTTATTAACCCGAGGTACCACTGTATAGAGAATATGGGGAACTTCCTTATACAGTACTGAGGCAGGCAGCTGGTTCATTTAGCACTGTTTTGTCTACATTGACAGTGACTCTTTAGGGATACAGGTAAAAGTCTTTCCTTGTCCTACCTGGAGATGCTATAACACTGAGCTAAGGCTCTTGCCCAAAAGAACTATTATTTATTTTATTTTATTTTATTTTAATCACCCTTCATCATAAGATGTCTCTGGGTGGTTCACAGAATAAAATGTGGGATAAAAACAAGTAAGTAATTAAAAACAAAACAGCAATATAATAATCCCCCTTTCCACAGACACGTTTAAAAGGCTGTAGAATAGCAATCAGCCAAAGGTCTGGTTGAAGACCTTTTCTATTTAAGACCATTTCTATATAAATATAACTATACATGAAAACCTCGGATCATTCAGTAATTCTACCAAATGCTGTAGTACCGTAGAATATTAAATGGCTGAAAGTGGTGCTGATGTAGTGTAGCAGTGAAAATCAGGTGCCAAGTATATTTTTGGCTCCAGATCTGCATTATCACCAGACTGATGTTCTCTGGGCATCACCTTACAACAGTTCATGCTTTGTTTCTAGCCGCAATGCAGATCTGGATGCAAATATATACTAGATTTCCAAATGAGATTATTCTAATAAGCATTCAGCCTTCTATCTTAAGGGTTAGCTTGAGGTGCTTAGCCATTTAAAATAAAAAGTAGAAAATGGCCATGAGAGATACTACTGTCTTTGAGGAGGAACTAGTGAGATAAAATCTTAATCATAACACACTGTTGCTGCAACACAGGGAATTTCATTAGTCTTTATGCAAAAAGCCGAGCATTTCCTCTTTCACCTGCTGTTTTGCAATCCTCTTGCTTTCTGAACTAACGATAGGGTTAGGGTGGCTCCACCTCGCTGGGAGGATTTTGAATGGCCTTTTAATCCAGTGCCCTGACCATTTTGCTTACTGCTCCAGGTGGTTTCCTATCCCACCTCAGACTTCCTTCAACTACTTGCATTCAGAGACTCTCCTGGAAAAGGGATCTGAAGACTTGGATTTCCCAACATCATTTTGCATAAGTGAGAGGAGAAATTGCTCAGTTGATGGAAAACCTGACCCAGCTTGTTTTTTGCCTGCTGGTGACATTTGCTGCCTGCTTCCATCTACTTTGCAGCTCGTAAGCAGACCACTGCCTTTCTGGCCATGCAAAGCACGCTGAACTACCTCTGGAAAACGGATGATGTGCTGGGTCAAGGTGCCACAGCCAGTGTGTACAAAGCCCGTAACAAGGTGAGGAGGCTTTATATATATAACTAGGATGCCCTGTGAGTGTGGTGTTTACTTAGCAAAGCAATTACACAACATAAATTTGAGGCATAACGGTAAAACGAGACTTAGAGCTGGAACATAACATAATTGGCATAAATACATTGGGTTGGATACAGATTTGACACATGAGAAGTCAATGGGGCATAATATAGTCATAATCCAACCAATTTAATTTAAATAATGGGAAGTGGAGTATTACCAGAGCAGCCCTAAGTGAGGCAGATGAAGGTTATACGGTTTAGTTAAGAACTGGTTTGAACATCCAAGCCCTAGATCAGAAGAGGATTTGAGAGCAGGGATGCCCATAGAAAGCTACACTTGCTTTTTTTTTTACCATAATAAGTCTTGTGATTTTTATTGTCAGGGCTGTTTCAAGTGTAGCTCATTCTCATGAGAAACTAAGGTGGCAGAGTTTTTGCCTGAAAACTGGGTTGCTTCTAGAAAAAAATGCCACCACGGGCCCTATTAATGCATGTGTCTTCACATTAACATGGCTGCTTGGAGCACAATCATGCTCAATGTGGCTGCTGCGATCTTGAGTATGACAGCAGAGCAGAGCTCTGCCATTGGAGGAGTTTGTGCTGATGTAGCAAAATTCACAGCAACTGTGTGTAGAGGTGCATCAAACAAATGGCTAGTGTGTTCAAAGCTACGATTGTGATCCAATACAGCCCTGGCTTGAGACCAGGTAATGTGAAGGGACACCTTCTCTCATAGAAGACTGATCAAATTTTGAAATCTTTTGCAGAGGCTCCTCTCTGTCCTATCAATATCTGGGACACTTTTGGGGGAGTTCTGAGATGAGATATACCCAGTGGCTCTGCTCAGACTTTGGCACTCCCTTCCTAGGAAGGCCTTCTTGTGTTTCTTATGGCCTCCATCGAAATGCCTATACTTTTTTTTTAATTTAGGCAGGCCTCCAGCCTCTGGAACTAGCTCTGGGAATTTTTAAAGCAACAGCTCGTTTTCACCTGTTCACTATTTATCCCCCTCCTCCTTGTTCCTTTTTCTTTGGATGACAAGCTTTATCTGCTCTTTTTCTTTTATCTTCTTATAGGTCTTTTTATTGCGTTTTTATTATTTCTGAGCACCTTGGGTGCTAGGAACAAACTATATAAATGAAATCTGTATCTGTATTGGATTTGAATCTGGGTTTTTAAAACTGTTAATCACTTCAGAATAATCTACGGAGCAAATGAAATAGCTGGAACCCATGGGAATAAGTAAACAAAATATGGTGACTTGTCCGCTGCATGTTTTGGAGATGTGCCTCTCCCCTCTTTCATGTTTACATGCTGCAGGGTCATATAGAATGAATAAAGGTTCCTGAAACCCTCCCCTTTGTTCCCCCCCCCCCAGAAATCAGGAGAACTGGTTGCTGTGAAAGTCTTCAACAATGCCAGTTACATGAGACCTCAGGAGGTGCAGATAAGGGAGTTTGAGGTGCTGAGGAAGTTAAACCACCAGAACATTGTCAAGCTTTTTGCCGTGGAAGAGATTGTAAGTTGTGGGTTTCACTCTCAAGCAAAGGCTGATGTATGTGTTATGGTTGGTGTGATAATGGTGGCATTGTGTAACACCCCGCTAAAACGTATCTTAACTGAACACGGTGATTACTGAATCTTGTTTATCAAGAATGTTTATACAGTGTGTATATGTTCTCTCCTCCATACATAGCATACTGTTACTTTAGCCTTGCCTGAACAGCACTTCTGTTTATCAGGTCACTTGTTTATACTAAATGTGCCATGTGGAGTTATTTGTTATTTTTGGCAATGGCACACCAGCGTGTTGGACAACATTGCCTTCTTCGACACAGCATTCAGATCAGAGGTAGGCAGTGTGGTGCCCTCCATATGCGCTTGGACTGCAGCTCCAACCTGCCCCAACTCGCATGACCTGTAAGTCCAGCTTGATGGGAGTTAGGAGTTCAACTTTGTCTGGAGGACACCACTTGGGTACCTTTGATTTAGGCACTTGCTGACAGGCTAGCCCATCAAAGAATCCCTACTGCTGCCTTAATTTGTGCCAGGGCTTCTCATCAACATCCATTTTCAATGAAGGAGTAGGGCCATAGTTCTGTGGTAGAGCATCTGTGTGCAGCGACTATAAAAAAAGAGAAATTCCATGCATGTAGGAAAGTTCCTGGCATATCAGGGTAGGGCTGGGAATCCGGGAATCCTGGAGTGGTGCTGCCAGTCAGAGTAGACAGTACTGAGGTAGATGGACTCATTGTCTGACTTGGTATAAGGCGGCTTTCTGTGTTCCTATTTTACAACATGCCAATGGCCTACATCTTTCTGGGAATTTCCCTTCCATATCTATATACCACAGAATGTTATTAACCTCTCAAAATCCTGAGGTTTGAAAGTGTTTCCAGACAGTGAGATTAGGGGAAAAGCAACTCAGGCAAGGGTAGCCAAGGTAATATCTGTCAGGTGTTCTAGACCATAACTCACATCAACCTTAAATAGAGATGATTTAAATGCCACATTGACTACCTCTGAACAAAAAAAATGTCTGATTGAAGCTTTTCCTAAATAATAATAATAAGGTCCTCTCAGCTTGTAGAGAGCCAGTAAGACAGTAAGACTCTAGTGTGCTACAGGCAGGGTGGTTTTTTAATTCAAAACTTAGGAACACACAGAATTCAATCATACATTTTTTCCTACCTGCATTCTGAAGTGGTATAATTTCAGGAGAGCTGTACTGTATAGTTTTTTTATCCTTTTTGCCTAAGCACACTTGAGCTTTAAGCACACTGATGAATTGGGGGGCGGACGGGACACGGGCGGGAATTCCCCTCATAAGGGACTAGAGGAATGAGTCTTCATAGCTGTGAAGGAAGTAGAAAATGCAAACAAGGATAAGAGGCAGTTCCTCTGCCTGCTGGCTTGTATTGGATTGTGCTGTTCCTGGTTTCCAAGTTTACTGTGCCATTCAATCTTTTGCAGTCTCCTGAGGACCAGTCTCAGCATATGTCACTCTTAGGAATGAAAAGCAAAGATGTCATTTTGAGTGCTAAATGCTTTTGTCACCCATCCAGTCTATACGCAATGAGCAATTAGTAGACTGGAAAATCTTACCAGTCCAGGGACAGTGAAGCAGCCAAGTGTCTGCGTTGTGACGAATCTGTTCTCAGTGTGCATTTAAGGGCTAGTGACTTGTTGTGTGGAAGTTACATTCCAGATGCAGCCCATCCCAATTTTTAACAGATCACCGTATGTGAGGAGTTTATCCTTTCCCTCCTCAGCCATGATCAGGATGAAAAAATCCCACCCTCTCTGGCACAGCTACCAGGGTTAGAAACTAATGGGAACTTTACACGCCCCCATAGAATGGGCGGGGGGATTTTTGTCCTAATCACGTCTAAGAAGGGAAGGAATAAATCTTTCCTGAATTCCCATGAGCTGTAGTCCTGATCAAAACCAGATCCCCTGCACCTGTAATTAACTGAAGGGGAAAAAACCAGACATTGCTGCATGCCAAACCCCTGTTATCAGCATGTGTGACGGTTGCGTGAACTATAGTGAGTCACAAATAGGGTGAGCACAGTTGCACACAGATCCTGCTCATGGGCTTCCTGTGGGCATCCAGTTGGCCAAATGAGGACAGAAATGTTGGACTAGATGGGCCTTTGGTCTGATCTGGCAGGACTGTTCTCATGTTAAATAATATGCAGATTTCCCCCAAACAGTAGAAAGTAACTTGAGAACATTGCTATGACCAAGAGGACTCATTTTCATCCTACGGTGGGAATGTGCTTTGAGATGCTGACCCAACAGGACCTTGGGGCTCAAACCCAGATATATACACAGGGATAATTTACCCTTACTGACTTCAGATCATGTGCTTATATGGTCTCTTCACTTCCTTCTGCACGCTACTTCCATCCTATCATTTGCAAAGAGACTCAAGATACACCCATAGATGAAGTGCATCAAATGGGCAGGGACTGGGCTGTGTCTGAGAGTTGCTTACTTGCTCCCATTACTTCGCTCTCTTCAGTTAGCTCTTTTCTGAATAGAAACTACATGTGGTGTATAGCTTTTAAAAAAATGCATGCACACCCCTTTGCTCGCAACTGCTTTTACCTTTTAGGAGAACAGATTAAAAACCCTGTATTTTACCAATGAGGTTAAAAGCAGCTTTGTGGATTTTCAGCAGGGGAAAGAAACAGCATAAAGAGAAAGGCTTAAGAAGCCCCCTCCCCACTTGGTCTTTATCTTCCCCTTCAGATAACCAGACTCATCAGTTGTATTGTGTATTGTGTATGACATGTATTAGTGCCCTTAGTCTTGCAGGGGATTTATGCTAGCTTCTGCTGTTGCAGCACGAGATGATTGGAGCACTAGCACATTCTGTAACGGAGTGCATGCTATCAGGCATACAGCTCAACCCCCATAAGGTGGGATTTCATTTTTGCCCTCAAATTCAAACACAGGAAAGCTGCAAACAGAAGGTGTTGGTGATGGAGTACTGTTCAGGCGGGAGCCTGCTGAGCCTCTTAGAAGACCCAGAAAATGCCTTTGGCTTGTCAGAATCAGAGTTCCTCATAGTGTTGCACTGTGTAGGTAAGTAAGTGCGACTGCTCTGTGGGCCAAGATGAATCTTACATCCTCCAAATGATTTTGCACAGCCTTCAAACATAATGCTTCCTGTGTTCCAATACAGTGCCAAACTAGATGTGACATTATTCATGGCCTTAGCGATGGTGTGTTTACTTTTCTAAACATAAGTAGCAAGCATGTGGGCAGCCAAGCTGGATCAGGATCACAGTATGGGAGGGTGGGGGCTTTAAGCCTTTGCCCTTGACATGGCCCTGATTGCAGTTGCCCCTACCTCACACATGTGCCTACATAAACTATTCACAAGTGAAATCTGCCATGGTCTGGAAGGATTAGTTCCAATCAGGACCCTGATAGGGACAAACACATAAATCCCCCTCCACCACAAACAGTCCCAATCTAGTTCCAATGCACTCCCCCCATGTATTGGTTAATGAGCAACTTATAACCATAGATCTAAGCCATGGTTTAATAAACCATGGTTTAGCATTATGTGTGAACCAGACCATTGTGTATCTTCATGT